CGTCCCAATTGTGTTGTACGATGTTAACAGTCGTATCTGATTTGCAATAAAAAGTAGCCAAACAGGCGCGTGAAGAAGAGCAAGATGAGGACACAAAGAGCCGGCCGTACTTAATTTCGATCCACGAGAGAGAGGAAGCGAGAAATACGCACTCGGGCATTCCAGCGAGGGTCTAAGCATAGGCACTGCAGATTGGACCGACCTTGATTCCATCCCGAGCCGAAATGAGCCGTAATAACCAGCGCGCATAAACTTAATTGACTCGAGCGTACCCTGGGCTTGTATGCGAATATGAATCTTTCTCTCTCTCTCTCTCTCTGTGCCAATTTCATTACCACTTGATGATTGAATGGGATACTCCGATGGTGCTGGGATCATATCATCGCTACAAAGTAGATAATTGGGGGAATAAAAATCTTCGCCACTCGTGAGATTGGGCTCATTGAAGTTCCAGCAGTGCGACTTGTAAACGTGCGAATTGAGCCTTGGAATATAGTATTTTGATTGTTTATTTGCAACTTGGTTAAAATACTTTATCTAGCCCATTGCAATGGGCACTTGAAAGTTGGGACGTTCAATAAACAGTACCAGGCACTAACGCATTGATAATTATCTTGACAAGCTATACAACTTTGCATTAGTAGTTGTGGATCAAAACAATATAGTAGCGTTATATGGTCGCGTTAAACTATAACACATTAATATAAGTTGTGAAGAAGATAAGACAAAATGATTGCATAACTGAAGCAAAGTTGTTGGTGGTATAATAAATTAGGTGCAAGCTATACAGTAAAAAAGACAGGAGGAGGCATAGTTCATGCAATTAAGTTTATGACTATAATTAATGAAACGGCATCTAAAGTATGAATTGTAAAATGTGGGGTTGAATTCTCTGGTGCTGACGAAGCATTATTACAGTCACTCGTGAATAATGAATCAAATATGGTTTGACTTTGGTATGTTTCTACAAAATGTAAAAGGATCTTGAAGCTAAATATGTCGAGTGGATTTTTTTTTTTTTTTTTTCAGTGTTGAATTTACATTTCTTCTTGTGTCATATGTACAAAGAGGGCAAAGTATTCGGTGCTACCATTACAACAATATTCATTAGCGAAAAAATCCAGGCAGAGGATTAAAAGAAAAGAGTTACGAGATCTTTGAACCTGATGTGCGCGCGAGGGCAATAAAATCGGCAGATTATTACCAACTTTGATTATCCTCGCGTTTTATTTACGAGGTATTTATGTATATAAGAAGCCGTGGCTCTGTCCGCAGTTGCTTCCCTCTCAACGGTACGCGACGAGCGGGCCACGCCTTCCCCATCAGCTTGCCGATCTCTTAATGCATCCGGCGCGAGAGAAAAAAAAGACTCGTGTAAGATGGAATAATGTCGACAGGGAAAAAAATTCCGAATCGAATCGGTTGACGGTGGAGAATCTCTTATCGGTGTGAGTATCCTTCGCAATTTCGGCTCTGGTATTTTGAAGGGAAGAAGTTTGGCGTACTTGTATATATTGGAACGAGGACTTATTTCTTTTTTTTCCCATTTTTTTGCAGAGCTTGGAATAAAAAAAGTTTTGTAAGTCGACTACTGCTGAAATGTGATCCTGATTTTTGCAAATAATACTAATCAACATGTTACTAAAAATATAGTCAGTTGAACTATTGTTATTAATAAACAAAAAAAAATCCCATGACATTTTAGACTGCATAGCCACTTGCTCAGAGCAGTAAGTGGTTCGCAACGATATGACAGTACCTCTAATAGAAGAAAAGTATTTGAAACACATGCTGTGTTCTTGTTATAGCGTAAACTAGTGTTTCTATTAATCAACGAAATAAAAGAAAAACAAGACCAAATCGAAGATACCTGATATCAAGCCGATCTCGATGATCTGCTCGTGCGCTTTATACAAATGACCTGGGTTTATCTGTAAAGCTGCTTCAGTCTATCACTCCTATCGAGTTTGTCCAATTTGAACAGCCTGAGTCTTGACTCTTCCAGGAAATAAAAGGTGTTGGAGAGCCCATGTAGTAACCACATTCCGGAAGAACACTTACAATTTGTGCAATTAATATATTGATGTCTTAGCCATTCGTGTTTAAATGGCCAAACTGTAGCCTGATAAACGGGCCATTTTCTATGTCTAACCTGCACAGTTAACATCACGGGAGGAATTACACAGGTGACATATACGTGGAATGGACGTAATCCTCCAAACGTTTATTTTTGGACAAGCACGATTTAATCAGCTCACACCAGCAAGCGTTAGAAGCGCAATTAATGAGCCGCAGACGTGAAAAGAGAAGGAAATTCACGTTTTTCTAACCGCCACGTAGGCCCTTAAACTTTTACTCTACACTTCGGCCTGAAAAAAATCGCACAGTCACGCCTAATGAGCGTCGTCGATGGAAATCGCTGATGGGGGAATTCTTGAGGCACGCAAATTCGTCCATTCGGGCCACTTACGAGCCGTCTCTGCACGTACTGCCCGTCTCCTTGGTACCCGCGGGTCCACCTGGTGTTACCCTCGTATTTTTTGCCTTTTTGGTTTCACACACACGCAAGCAACAAAAAAAGTACTCGTTGCTCGAGCAAACACGGCAAAAGGCCCAAAGAGAGAGCTGTCCGTTTGGCTCGTCGCAAAGATGGCACCTTACATGTGCACGCGACACGATAATCGCTCGAGTCGGCCGGCGCGGTATGCTAATCAGCGAGAGCTAATTGTTGGAGCGGCGCCGAGGCCCGAATCATTGCCAAAAAAAAAAAAAAAAAAATGATTTTAAAGACGGGCCTTCTTGTCGTTCGTCATCTTTGCGAATGAGAGATGGGCTCTCTTTTTTCGGCCACTCGGAATTGAAGTACATATGTAGGTTAGGTGCCTTCCGCATCAGGGTTTGCGGATTACGAATCGCTGACGTTAAAATTACCACTTATCCTTTCTTTGCACTTGCTCGGACCGCTCCGAGTTCCAAGCAAGCTGCATCCTTCTCCCCCCCCCCCTTTTTTAACTACTTTGCCTTATTTTCCCCGGCAATCCGTTAAAGAGCACTTTGAGCGATGTTTGCTCGGATTAATTAAACTGTTCTTCCGCGTAGTAGTCCTAATGCGAGTCCATTAATTCATTACTTTGTGGAAAATATGATTTTTGCTGGAATAATAAAGTAAAAAACAAAATCGGTAAGTACTAGACGCTCGGCATGATGTCGACAATGTACAGACTCGTGTCTTGCTAAAGTGGGAGTAAGTAGGTACACAGTGTGTGGCTTCTGAACGATCGGTTTGGTATAGCAGCCACTGGCCTAATTAACGAGCCTCCAAGCGACTCTTTTTCTTTTTCCCCTACTTCGTCATGCTACTGTCGATTAATATAAATGACGGAAAAGTTTTCTTACGCTCGTTGGAACGCATATTACTTTTACATAATAAGCAGGGGCTTGCGTGTTACCTGCGATGAGACAGCGTTTCTATGTATTTAGCAAGTAATTTCACGAGCGATCGAAAGGATGAAGTATTGTTTTGTAGAACAGCCAGACAAACTACGCGGGTACTCGTGACGAGGGGACTTGCGGAGAAATTGATGGTTGATATTCGTCGATTGACATCAAAGGGATTTGTTTTACGTGTCACAATTCGTTCCCAAGTGATGAGATGGGATAATATCTTTTGAACAAACACAATTTCGTCATTTTAATTTTAATGTGCATATTTCTGTCATATTTACAAAGTTCGTTGTTGATTTTCATTGAATTCTTTCATATTTATTAATACATTTTTAGTTATTTTTGATGCTTATGCTTATTATTTAGACCATAACGATCACAGTTTAGGTGTAAACGTGTATTACAAAAAGATGACACTCTTCGATCACACATACGTTTAAAATGTAAATTATAAAAAAGACTTGATTTTTTTAAAATGTTAAAGTATTTTCTTCAATTTTCAGTGCATGAAACAAGTCTTTCAAAAAAAAATACATAAAAGTATGAAAAAATTTGTATTCTTTTAAGATCTACATTTTTAGTGTCCACAACTTTGTGGTATGGTGTCGACTTCATACTATAATCAGCAAATATACCCGTTTTCTTTGTTTCTAAATGTATATTGTCTTCTTGACCCTTATAATCGTTATTTCAATAAAAATGAACAATATTAAAAATTGTGTTTTTCACTAATTTTTTTTATAATGTTTAAACTATGGACTAGACCAAGAAGAAAAGAATCGGGAAGAGTCTAGATTATACAAGTTCTGTAGATTACACAAGTGTTGTGTATGTATATACATGCATAATTGAACTATAGTTTGCTTAACGTTATCTAAGTTTTAACATATATTTTAATATTGTACACCAAATGTGCCAGTCCTTAGACCTTAAGGATCTACCAATATAATGTAGTTTTTTTTACGAAAGAGCCATATCCCCGTAGGAGCTATTTTGCGGCCCAAAAGACCGTAGGGTAGCCCAGGTTGGATGGCACTTATGTGGCAAACGGTATTTTTCCCATCTCAGGACATGTTTCGTCTTATTTTTCCTACTGAGGGCACAGTAAACGTCCAAATGTAGCAATAAATTTACTCATGTCGTGTAGTTAGTGATAATCAAGGACGAAATTCATTCACATTAAATTATTGGATTATTAAACAAGAAAGAACATAAGATACTCAGGACTTACCCATGATTGCGCAACAAAGATATGATTATAATTAGCCAATTGCTATACTTTCATTAGCTTTTACTGGTACCCTTTGTTTTTAACAATTAGAAAGTAAATTATTAAAGTACGATGGCGTGGATGGATAAAAGGATATTTTATTCAAATACAGATTGTTAAAACAAAACAAGACGTTTTTCTTTTTTCATCAGTGGCAAGACGACGTTTTTTATTTACTCCTGATCTTTGCTGACATTTCCATATTAATAAAATATTTTCAAGAGTACGTGAAGAAAAATCGTTTCTACATAAAAATGACGTATTTTTTACACTTAATCCTCTGTTTTTATTGAGTCTCTTTCCCGGTAAAAGACAAATGATCGCGCATGTGAATTTTCAACTCGTGGGCCCGGACAAAAGTTAGTAAACACTCGGTGCAGTGGTGGGCGTGTACCTGACCCATGTGCGCATTAAGAATACATTTGCGAATGAAAGGCCGCGAGCACTCCTCGCAACTGAACGGCTTTACTTCCATGTGGGTCCACTTGTGCACTTCAAGGTTACTCTTTATAGAAAAATCTTTTCCACACACATCACAGGCAAAAGGTTTTAGGCCTGTATGGATCCTCATGTGAACTGTAAGATTGTACTTTTTAGCGAAACTTTTTGAACAAATTGTACACCCAAAAGGTTTCACGCCCGTGTGGGTCTGCTGATCAACGGAAGCTAAAGGCCTTGCGCATTTATTGGTCGATTCGTGCTTCGAAAGGCTCATCTCGTTATGGAATGTTTGTTTACACACTTTACAGGTATAGGGTTTCTCGTCCATGTGGCTCTGCTGATGCTTTAAAAGATTACCCTTGTGTCTGAAAGCAAGTGAACACATTTCGCAGGTGAATGGCGTAACGCCTGTGTGGATCAACATGTGTCTTGTTAAATCCCCTTTCTTGTTATAAGCTTGCGAACACACCTCGCAGGTGTGAGGCTTCACACCCGTGTGTGTCTGCTGGTGTTGTGTAACATTATATTTATAAACGAAAGTTTTCGAACAAAATTCGCAGCTGTAGGGCTTTATGCCCGAGTGGATCCTTTCGTGTTTCATTAAATAGCTCTTTTTACCAAAAGCTTGTGGACAAACTCCACACACGTAGGACTTGACACCCGTGTGGATCTTCTCGTGAGTTGTGAGACAACTCTTTTTGGTAAAAGTTTTGAAACACACCTTGCAAGTAGGAGGTTTATCATCAGAAACGTGGTAAGTGCTGCCTTCAGCCATATTAATGCAAAATATGTCAGAGGATTTTACAATAGCTCCAATTTTACTGTCTGACGAGTATTAGGTGTCTTGTGGTGATTCCTCAATGTTATTGTTCTTGCTACTATCCGATGACTATGGAGTGATTTGTTTTACAAAAGTCTTCTTTCTGTGAAATATAATAAGCAATTCAAACTATCTTGTCAAGTATTGTACATGGTTATTTGTACCATTGTATAGAAACATATAATGTCACGAGTCAGCGTTTACTTTTTTCTCGATTTTTTCTTAAGATAGTTATGTTGATATCTCGCGAGTTAAGTGCACAAATTCGTACAGAAATAAGTATCAAGTTACACCAAAATAGTTAGTGCTTGAAAAATTTTCAATGATAAATTATAAAAAAATTTATTGCAGATCCTTATTAGATTCAGTTTCTTACAGTCTCTACCAAAGTGAAAAAATATTTTTGTGTATTCAGAAAAAATTAAAACTGAATGAAACGTTTAATTGAAAAATGAATTTAACGAAGCTTTGAAAATCTGTCTATTGTGTTCTTCACGTGTATCGTGAAAATATGAGTTCAAAGTTTGAAGTCTTCATACAAAATATAACGACTTTAAGGAGTAGTGGGAAAACTCCAGGCTGCAACAAGTATTTTAGTCTTTTTTTTCTAATCTTCTTAACCAGTACATTTGAGGACTCAAACTATTCTATAAATATACATTTCTTCTTTCTATTGCTTTTCTTTAGGATTAGTGAATAGCTTAGTTAAATTAGTGTTTCATCTTATGCAGTAATTGAGATACCGACACAGCAATCTTAAATTATGACACATCATTTAATTATACATAAAGTCTTTAAATTAAATCCTATTTAAAATTTATGTAAATTATTTGAATTTTTTAAGATTGTGTAGATAAACTATTAACAATAAACAATTTGAGAAATTTGCTATTATAATAGTTATAAGCCCATAAATTCAGGGTACATTTGTGTAGGGTTTTAAAGCATGTGACAATGTGAGAAAAAAATAAGTTTGACTCAGATGTTACTGGAAATAGTGTGTTGTTAAAGAGTAAAGAATGACGTTTAGATTAAAAAAGTTTTTCTTACAATTTACCCCAAAACTGACCGTTGTATTTCTTAATTTTTTGTAGCGATATCCTGCGAAGATCTTGCGTAATTTTACTGATTAATTAAACCTCTGACTTTTAGCTGAACAATAATCTTTCGTTCCAACGTTCCAATGTATTGAAAGTTTTGTTGTTCAATGTATTTTTCACAATACAGGGATTCACTAAAAATGTACACTAGTAATAGAAATAAACTTATTTATTAAATTTTTTAATTGGAAACTTGACAAGATGTACTTTATATCCTTTCCTTCTGCAGACCAACAAGTAACTTCAATTGACGTGGTTAAACTGTCCCGAGAGTTTTGAAAAGTGAAGGTTAAATTTTTTAGTTTTAATGTGATTGGCTAGAGATATAATAATAAGTATGTTTGGTGTGTATGAAATTTTGTACAGCACTTGTAATGCTTGTACAAGTGATGCTTGTTGCAACGTGGATTGAGGAAAATATATCTCACGGAATGTTATCAATGACTTTTAAGAAATCATTAGGTTAATAAATCGTAGAAATATTAACACATACACACTTCTTTTTAATCACTAAAAGAATAACTGTGTTTAAATGAAATGACAAAAAATAATAATTGGAAATTGTACTTTAACTCATTTTTGAACAACATTCTTTCATCTAACCAAATTCTAAAGTTATTAACGTAAGAGAGTTAATTTTTCGAAAATCTTACAAATAGAATTATTGCAATATTTTATTAGTACTAATAGTACAGAATTTTACAGATGCATGATAAAACAAAGTAAAGTATTATGATCACTGCTTTTTGTATCACTGATTGTTTTTTGCTCAATTACCTATGAATTGATTCTTAAATGTCTTTGTACTATGTGTTCTGATATGCTGCAAATTAATTTCAAGAAAAAGATACTACAAAATTAAGTATAGTAAGATTTTTAAAAATCATTTATTTAACAAAGTATACTCTGAGGCGTATTTTCCAAGAAACCAGTAATTAAAAACTGCTGATTTTTGTATCATGTATTCCACTAAGAGAGTTTACACAGCACTTTTAATAGTCGTTTTCTCGGTGTTCAATTGGAAAAAATATTTCATAGAACGACAAACGTATTTATCAGGTGCTTACGTATACATAGCATTATCAACCTACATGTAAAATTGTATTTTTTGTCTATGCACACATGTTTTTTTATTCACGCATATTCTTGCACTACTTGTACCCTTGGATGTGTATTGATGTACTGTGAGCTGTGAGCAGTAACTAAAAATAATTATACCTTTATGGGAAAAAATAGCGACATTCACTTGCAAGAATATGTGTAGCCTCATGAACTTTTGTCAATTTTTTTTCTTCAACCATAACGATAACGTCTTTTTAATAAAAAAAACAGCTATTTTTCACGTTCACTATTACTTTTAAACCAAAAAATACTTTATTGCAACTTCATAAAAAAAAAAAAATTGCCCCTAGTGAGTATTAATTTGTTCTTGTTAATGGTACTAATTCAGATTACTGCACCCAGCGAGTTGTATCGGAAGTACACCTATATATATTTTCCGTTTCTTTATAATAGTACTTGCAACTTACCTCAATTTTAACAATGCCCTTTCATTTTTTTCTCATTCACACTAAAAACAGACTGTACATATTTTAATAACCATAAAGTTCCAGATCAGTCAATGGGGACGACCAGTAATTTATCTCGATAACGTGCGTGTGTCTCTAGTATTTTTTTACTCGTATGCAAGATTACCGCTTCAAACGTAAGAGTTTTAATGATTTTGCAAAATTAATGTGAAAGAATGGACCTGCTGTTTTTACCGAAAACAGTGCATGTTGGTCTTGAAATCTGGTATCTGCACTCCGCTATTCACAACATTTTACTTGACCATAATATTTGTTTTACTTGGGACTGAGCTGGTAAAAAAAAATATATATATATTATCTTGGGCTCAGTAGGGGGTACAAAACAAAATATTCTCCAGTGGAACTTGGGTGAACGGAATGTATTTTACTTTGTGTGAAAAATAAATTTTTAATACGTCAGTTTTTTTTGTAGAACTAAATGTTCGAATCCCGGGTAAAATACGACGTGAGTTTGACATTCAAAGCTTATGACTTGACACCAATTAGACACTAATCAAATCATTACTTTTAAGCCAGGATGAACTCAAAATCAGGTTAGGATAGAAATGTCGTTTGTTTGTCGTAATAAGCATTATTCCCTGAGTCCTTTTCACCTCATTTTCAAGACCAATTCATGTTGTACCAAGAAAAAGCTCTTCCCATACGAAAAAGTAAAAGTACCACTCGGGCGAATCTCATAAAACGTGATTCGAGAAAAAAAAGAAAAAAAAAAAAAAAAAGACGATGCATAAGTGATTCATACTCGAAGATATTTCCCTTCCTGCGGGCCTATTCTCACCAAGCCAGGACCGCAGCGAGATGATCCGGCGAAAAGGAGGGTATACATACCTACACCAACGACACGGCCAGGAAGCGGTGGCGCAACACACTCCCAGCCGGCATCAGGGACAGAGAGAGGGCCAAACCTGTCGAGCCCAAAGCTGCGCTGGACCCAACCCGGTAATTAATTGATCGGCTCCTACTGATATCGAGAGAAAGAGAGAGCACGCAAAGGCTAGTTTCGACTTCTCCGAAATAATCTTCTCTCCCTCCCTCCCTCGGCCATATACGTTCATTGTACTTTTCGCTTCCTCCCCCTCCACTCGGGGCCCCGAGGCTCTTTCTCTTCTTTTCCTTTTTTTTTTTTTTTTTTTTTTTTTACTTATTTCCAACGCGGTGAGTTGAAAAATGAAATAAAAGGCATCCAGGGGCAGGAAGATCAGAAAAGGCGAATCGCCTCATTGTGCGCAAACGCACGCGCGAGTACACGAAATGAGCCTTCCGAGCTGATAACCGCGCATGATGAAGTGGCTGCTCCGAGAGCTCTTTCCCTTTTTATTCTGATAACCTGATTAATTAGCCCGTGGTGTGGGGAAGTGAAAAAAAAAAAAAAAAAAAAAAACAAAACAAACCAGAGGCTCTTACAGTGATTTTTAGGTTTTTTTAATTCGAGCTGACGTTTTCGACGGGCCGTCGGCATCGACGAGTGAAAAAGTTTCATGACGAAGAGAAAAAAAAGGAGAACAGCGTTATAAGGCACGCGTCAAAAGGTTTCGTCGTGTTCTCACACGCGGGCGCGTGTAGACGTTTCGGAATTTCACGACGGCGATGTCGAGTGACGCTTTGTTACCTCCGTTTTCGAGCGAAAAAGATTGATAGACGCACTCGCGAGGAGTACCGGCGTTCCATATCTAGCCCGCGTTAGTCATGCTTTCTTATTTCATCTCTCGTGTACCGATCAATAATCTCGTGCGATGTCAATCGGCTCCGTTACAAAGGCGTTGGGAAAAAAAATATATATACTCCCATACGTAATATGTCTTTGCTGAGAGAAACGGAGAGGAAAAAAGGACCAGGCAGGGTGTCCGATTCACGAACGCGAGAGCACGTGGCTTAATCTCTTCGACACAGGTTTTCGAAATTGTATCGATACGGGTTATTATCCTTTTTGGGAAGTCACATTTTCGAGCTATTGAATGAAATTAGCACAATAGGTGTATTGGCTCGTTGCGTGAGAATTATTTTTTTTTTATTTTTTTTTATAGAATATCTCGCGCCCTTACATTACCATTGTTGTTAAGGTATGACTGATACTCAGGAGTGCCTTATAGTTTAGCCAGAGCAATAAGTGTAAGTACCCTTGAAACTTACTGTTTTTGGGTAAAAAAAATTTTGGTAAAAAACAAATTGTGATCGCAAAATCGGTGTCAGGGGTGTATGAATGCATGTGTGTATGGGTGTAATCAAGTTTTTTTACTAACTCTTACATGTTTTTTTTCGGATTGGG